GCATAAATTATGGAGTGGTTAGGAGTATGCATGCAAGCCCCATTCATAATCTTCCTGTAAACATTTGTGTCGCTACAAAGAGCCAGGCATCCTGGAGTGAGGAAGAGTGCCAGAGGAGTAATACTTCCTTTAAAACCCTTGGTCCAGCTGGCCTGGCTGGTAGAATCTCATAAGGGCCCCTTTCCAGGGTTACAGGAGAAGATGGTCAACAGTTTTGAAGGCGGAAGAGGGCTTTATGCGCCAACGGCAGATAAAACGGTAGAACGATCTTCTAAGAGAAAGGAAACTCCGATTTCAAACCTCCACTGCCTTGTTGCTATATTTATTATTGTCAAAGGCTTCTGGAGTCAACCTCAAGGCAAAATCCAGAGCCGGAGTCCCGGAAACAGTTCATGACTGTGCACAATCACGTTCTGGTAACTCCTGCTACGCAGCTGGAACTAATTATATTGGCTCTCTTAGACTATTTCAGCGATGTAGAGAGCAGGGAATCTGCTACTTGGGTAACAGTTTATCCTCCATGTTAAATTACCCAGGAGTCAGAAACATTCTGATGGCACATAATCAGTCTTGTACAAGTTCAGTTTAAGAGAAACATCAGATGGGAGAATATACTTTTACCCATTAACAGTCGGTTTCTTGATAGCAGATTAAAGGGGCATTCATATCCCATGGTGTCAGACCTCCCCCTATGGGGGGCTGCATTGTAGTTCTATTAATGTTGATTATTTTGACTGATTGATTAATCCATTTATATGCAGATGTGACCCTGAGAAGCTAACTTGTTAAAAGCAGTAATAATAAAGGAAACCAATATCAACAAAAGGTTTGATAAACTGAGAAACTCAGGCCTTGATAAAATGGCCACCAATAATATATCTAAACAAAACAATCAACAAAAGTCTCTTAATGGGACATTTAGGCTCTTCTAATTTCTACATGTGCATCAATACATCTGTGAATTCTTATACACAATTAGAGGGAAAGTTGTGATCTTTAACTTTTGAGAGGAAATGCACCTTTGGAGTGTTCAAAGTAGCCACCTAGTGGTATAGAAAAAATGAGAATATGTCAGTTCTGTAGGAACTACTTCTGAGTCCTGCAGTAGATCTTCAATTAGAACATGTGTTTATATGTTGTATGGGCATATATGTATAGGCGAATTTAATAACTTAATAGCACTCCTTTTGGGGAGCATGTAAAATGTGATAATTTTGAAATTCTTTAGAGATGTTAGAAATATTTATCCATCAAGCTGGACAATAAGTACAGAACTATCCTACTTTCTCATTTCCTTTCTTGACATCCAAATCCACTGGCATTTAAGAAGGGATCAAGCACAAATGATTTCTTAAGCAATTCCACATAGCACTTTCAAATTCAGATAAAAGGTTTTTGAATTATTCTGTGGTCTATATTTTTTTAATGAACCAAATTTTATCACTGTTGACAGCTGAAGATTTATTTATTTGTATCCCCATAAGGTGCAAAAAGGAATTCCATATCTCAAGTGTTTTCACTGGTGTCCTGGGCAACTGGTGGACTTTAAATATATGTTGAATCCATTTATTTATTGATGTTTTATTAAAAACTAGTTTTGGGATTGCTTGCAGCTTTTAAAAGATGAGCTGTAGAAATGAATAATCATCATGCTTTATCTACATATTAGAGGAAAGGAACTCAGAAAGGAACCTTCCTAACTTATCAGGCTGTAAAAGAGGTGGCAGGAGATTTGTACTATCAGGCTTGCAGGTTTCTGTTTGTTGGAAGGAAAATCAGGTCCAGTTCCAAGCTGGGAGAAAGACGCTGGAAATAAAATGGAGGCAGGCTGCAGGAAAGGAAATCTCTGTTTATTTGGTAGCCAGAAACTAGTGACAGCAGCATGTTTCTGGGGTGGCTGACAAAATGGGGTTGAGAATAGGTGGGTTTTTATACATTCTTTGGGGCTTTGTGATTGAGATGCCTGTTCCTGTTAAGAATGTGTCCTTTAATATTTTAATGTATGTTGCCAGATTCCTATGGAGTCATGGCTGGTTCTACAGGTAAAAGGGAAAATGCAAATCCTAGGAGTTCCTCTGAGCTGATCTTGTCAGCTTTGGCTTGCCTGATTGTGTTGCTTATTTGGAGTTTCCTTGCTTATGAATAGATTGGTCCAGTCTTTCTGAATGGATTCAAAATCTCCATTCCTAAAGACCAGCCTCTTCAAGCTTCTGCTTGAGGCTGTTTTCCTACTTCCTACTTCAGCCTTTGTTAAGATTTTTCTCCAATTCTCCTTCAGAGAAAATATTCTATCCTGCCTCTTTTTAATATCAAGAATAAAGAATATTTTAATCTGGGGAGGGGCGGCCTTCCTACCTGTTAATATGGCCTTACAATGAAGTTTTTCTGATTGTGTTTCCTGCTTGGTCTGCCCAGGAAGTTTGACAAGAGGTTAAGTCACTGAAATAGAGCAGGTCTGAACTTTAGCTCTGCCTTAGGCACTGAAGTCAGCTGAGTTACTTGGAGCTAGTCACTTTCTCTGATCTCTAGGAAGAAGACATGGGAAACAACTTCCAAACTGCAGGGATTTGTCTCAGAGTCAAGAGGGACACAAAAGCGAAGAGGGAGGGAGGGAGAGAGAGAGAGAGAGGGAGGGAGAGAGATGTATTTACTAAAATAAATGCATATCATCACACTAACATGAACGATATCTGTGAGAACTTGAATGTGTGTGTGTGTGTGTGTGTGATGTCACGAGCTTTTGTAGTTTACAGTCTACTTAATTGTAAGCATAGTGTAATAATTTGGAAAAGGTTATGAGAATGGGGGATTGGGAATGGTAAAGTGTGATGCCAAAGGAAAACAAAATGTAGGAAGTGGAAAGGAAATAATTAGTGCAAAATAATGGGCCATTTATGAAACAGATGTCGGATGTGATTTTCATCTAGAGCATATTTTAGAAAGAGTCATTTTGTAGTCATTTATTTGAATAAAATCTGTGGCCAATCCAAGTTTATGTTACAGCAGAATGTTATGTTAACATTCTTTTAGAACATATCATTTTGTATGTGTGTATGTGTGTGCAGTTGATGCTTATTTCTTTTGGCTATAGGGATTAAGGCTGCCTGGTTACCAGGCTAAAAAAGGTTATGAAAGGTAGGCTGCTAAATTGATGTTTAAAGAACAAGGGAAAAATATTTCCCCTGCTTTTCTTGTAGGTTTTCCCGACTTACCAGAAATTATGCTAATGTTTCACCATAGACACAGGAAAAGAAAACGTCTAAATGCCTGTTTTACCTCATTAAAACAAATTAAGTAAAAACAGTACTAAATTTATTAAAATGAGTGAAATGAATTCTAGGACACTGACAACCAATAGAAATAATGTTGGATTGATTATTTCATAAAAAGGCAACTGTGTGCCCTTTGTTGTTGTTGTTGCAATTTCAGAAAAGACTCACAAAGCCTCTCTGTCCCCATCACTATGGATATATAGCCAAGTATCAGAGGCAGTGGTGGGTTTCAAAAAGTTTTCCTACTGGTTCAGTGTGAGTGTGCGCTTTGCGTACTCATGCGCAGTGTTTGCAACTCACCTTTTGCTGCAAGCCCTGTGTGTAAAACAGCTGATGTGCGGCAATCAGTTGTGCCGCGTGAAGCAGCTGATCTTGAAAAGCAGGAAATAAAGATCAGTATAGAGACGAGGCGGATGGGAGGGCCCAGCAGCTGATCGTCGGAGCGAACTGGTTCACTCACAGATAATCGTCGGAGCTACCAGTTCAGCCGAACCGGGCCTAACCAGTAGAATACCACCATTGATCAGAAGGATCCTATATTTGTGCAGTCTGTCTCCAACTCCCCATTCCTGGAAACACAAATGGTTTCTCTGGTTCTAGAGCACAACTTTCAAGTTCTGATCATGTGGCCTTCTGTGAAATTTCAAACCCTTTATGCAGATCAATTAAGTTCTCTATGAAGGACCTCTGGTCTCTTTCCTGAAGCTGTTTTTTCTTTTCCTGTTTGGAAAAGAAAGAGGAAATTATATCATTTTAGGAAATAAGGGTTGCTGAAAGAAGTGCCCACCCCTTTTTACCTCAGCCTTGATGCATTACCCTCCCCCATAATAAATCATCCTTAAGAAAATGTGGCCCTCAACAGAAAAAAAACCAACTCTGCTTTTTCCCATCTCTAAAATGTTCTCTAAACTCCAAGTTCATCTGATTTTGAAGGCACATGGAACAAACATATGTTAAGTAACTATCTGATTTCCAAAGTGGAATCCAATCTGTTTAGAAGAGAGATCACCTGTATCAATTTAATACTTCAAATTATAGTCACCATTGACAATATTGTACATTGGTAATGAAATAGTAGGTTAATCATTAATATTAAAAGAGGGAACTATAGGATAACAGAAAATGCAAGTGTTAATGTGTCACTAAAAACAACATAAAAATAGAGCAATAGCACTTCACAGTGTTTTACAATGCTCTCTTAAGTGGTTTACAGAGTCGGCATATTTCCCCCAACAAGCTGGGTCCTCATTTTACCAACCTTGGAAAGAAGGAAGGCTCAGCCAATCTTGAGCCAGTGAGAATTGAACTGCTGAACTGCTGGCAGCAGTCAGTCAGCAGAAGTAGCCTGAAGTACTGCATGCCAACCACTGCGCTGCCATGGCTCCTGTGTATAGTGGAAAAGACAAGCAACTTTTATCTAAACAATCTATTCTTTTAAAAGCAGGAGACATTTGCAAAAGTAGTTTTAAATGAAAACGAGGATTCGTATTCATGATAGAAATGCTATCTATGCTGTCATAATGATTTTTCTACTCAATCCATTTTGAGCAATAAGATTGCATAATAAATTCAACTCTCTCTTCCAAGTTCTATTTAAATAGATTATAGATGAAGAAAATTATTAATAATTTCAGAATGAAAATCTATTATTTGGTGCAAAGAACTCTTTTTTGATTAAGTAAACATGAAAATATATGTAAGATCTAATTTTTTTAACTACTTATCTAGGCCATGGAAAGTGTGATTGTGGAAAGTGTAAATGTGAAGAAGGTTGGTATGGTGATGCTTGTCAATACCCAACTATCTGCAATTTTACACGGAGGAAGAGTAATGAAATGTGCAAGAATTCTCAAGACATCATTTGTTCAAATGCAGGTGAGATTTTTATTTTAATAGGCTGATAAATCACTTTGGTGAAGTGGTTTTTAATCAATCATACAAAATATATTGTGTGAAAGCATTTAACTAGTGTGAAAATTATAAGACTAAATGGTTATTATTAAGAAAGGAACTGAAAATACCCTTGTGCATCATAAACTTGGCTTGTCGTCCAGGCATTAGGCAAGGAAATTAAACAGCAATAACACTTAGATTTAAATACAGCTTCACAGTGCTTTACAGCCCCCTCTAAGTGGTTTACAGAGTCAGCATATTGCCCCCAACAATGTGGATCCTCATTTTACTGACCTTGGAAGGATGGAAGGCTGAGTCAACCTTAAGCTGGTGAGAGTTGAACTGCTGGCAGTCGGCAGTTGGAAGCATTAGCCTGCAATACCGCATTGTAACCACCATAAATGCACTGACTTGGGGAGTGGATGGCTGTTGATATTGATGTGTGCACTGCCCTCAGAGGGATGGATTTGCAGTTTTGTTCATGTTTTAATTGTTGTTTTAATTTACTGCCCAGAGTCACATGTTGAATGGGCAGCCATATAAGAGAAAAATAAACAAACAGAAATATCTCATGTGACCATCTTTGAAAAAAATCTATGGCACAAACAGACTTGGGGTTCTGTATACAGCTTTGAGACCCCCCCAATATATTTTAGAATTGAACAAAAGTTGAAGAAAATGTCAACCAAAATAATCAAGGAATAAAAACCACAGAGGATGCCACCATACCTAGAGATCAGGTTGAAAGGTGAAATGTATGTGAAGATTTTCTGCCATCCAGATAGAGTTGTTTGGAAGTTGCTGCTATAACAATGAAGGGTGAATTAAATCAACCTATTATGTCTAATAGGATAATTTAATGCCTTATTAATAACATACATTATATAAAATTCTAAAAGGAATTCTGAAATTTAATGGGGCACAAAGGCAACACAGTCAGATAATCAGTAGGAGTCCCTTTATTAGCTCCAACTTTGCCCCCAATGTTCAGGTTACCTTCTGGCTGGAGAAAAACTCTCCCAGGAACAGCCTTTGACTGCAGAGAATCGAGTCCAAAACGTGGTTAACAAAAACTGTAACTATAAGTCCAATCAAGGCAAAATGAGGTAATTAGTCCGACAGGGCAGGAGCAAGAATTCCAGACATGAAGGCATGACAAAACTCAACATGGTGGGAAAGATGTCAGGAACACAGAGAAGCAATACAAGATAAAATCACGCTTGCTCCCAGCACCTGCTGCACGCAGCCTGCATTTCTTTTAAACTTTCTTCCAAGGTGTGGCTAATCAGGGCCCTTTCCTCCCCCATAAGACATGCAACCCACATTGCTCTCCCTCATAATCCACGCAACCCACATTGCTGTCTTCTCCGTTCCTCCCTGCGTGCCCTAGAATGAAGAGGGGGTGGGCCTGGGTCTTCCTCTGAATTCCCTCCCTTGTTCTACCTCTTTCCTGCTCTGCCCAGCCGGATTTTGCCTTTCCCCAGCTTCCTCCACAGCCAATGGAGCCACACCCCCATTCCCTGACAGCTGTTCGTCTTCCTCCTCGGATTCAGACTCCGACAGGGGCATGACACATAGGCCATGAAATTAAACATAATTTTCAATGATAAACTGAATGATAATAGTAAGCTTTAATCCTAATGCCAGTACTGTGTTTCTGATGTTTACAGGTACTTGTCACTGTGGCAGATGTAAATGTGACAATTTAAAAGGAAATGGATTGATCCATGGTAAATACTGTGAGTGTGATGACAGAGAATGCATAGATGAAGAAACAGGACTAATGTGTACAGGTGAGCATATTTAAAGCTATGCTAATCACAGCAAACATTCTTCAGATAATCATGCTCTATCATTGAGGGCAATTTTTGCGGATTCTGCTCCAACTTGTCTTGAATATATCAATTTGGCTTGGCCTTAATCACAGCAGTCCTTAGAGATAATTTGGGGACCAAGGCAACGAACATTGCAGCTACTAGCCATCATTTCCTTTTAGAGAAAGGTAATAGCCTTTTTTCCCCCCTACTTATTTTTTTTTGAAGAATTTTTGCCACCCAGACAAACTTGGTAACAGTGGCTGTAGTTGTGAAAATGATGAATAAAATTTAGAAAACTATAGCCTTGTAATATTCACAATAAACAGACAATAAAAGGAGGGCAGTGTTTCTGCAGATCTGCATCAATGTTTACTGCTGAAGCAGTTTGAAGATTACTCTGGGGTACTTTGGGCTAGAAAGCAAGGAGCTTCAGAACATGCATGACAACTGTCCAAATACTATCTACAATTTCTTAAACACAACTTTTTCTTCAGAATTGTGCCATGGACGTAGAGGGCAACTGCAAAATCCCACATTTGTTTCAGGAGCTACAAAAAGTAGTGACCAAAGTACTGCTATATTTTGCCTTTGAATCTGATGCGTGTCTTAGGGCATTCCACCTCATATCATCAAGGGAAAGAGCGGGCCAGATGGCCAACTGATCTAGCAGCTAAGAAAAGTGTGCATACATTTGGAGGGCATTGGCATCTCCAAGATAATGGGCACAGCCTTGTAATCCAAGTTTCACCCTTTGAATGTTTTTGATGAAGAGACAGGTGATGCACAGACAAAAAAAATGGAGCTGGATTGCAATATTGTACCTACAACTTGCAAAGGTTGAGTTAAGTACTTTTCTCCAAGCTGGGCACTGGGACTTAATTTGGAACAGTCTATGCATACCGTAAGTCTTTCTTTTCCACTTCATATCATGACAATATAAACACTTGGTCCTTTCCTTGTGACCATGTTTAGCTTCCACCAAATCAACAAAAGCTGCAGCAGAATAGACAATTCATCTATTAGCCTAACTCAGGGGTGTCAAACTCACATCATCACAGCGGCATCACATGATGTATCGGGACTTTTTTCCCCTTCGCTAAACCGGGCATGAGTATGGCCATCGTGTGACGCATCCGGTCTGCGGGCCAGAAGTTTGACAACCCTGGTTTAACTCAATCCACCTATTATAGGATAACAGGAGGATAATTATCCCACAAGCTTTAATTAGAGATACCCAAGATTCATTTGCAGGTTAGAAAATGACTTTCAGAAGACAGTGAGACAGTACTGAAGTGGCAGTTTGCATAACCTTTTGAAAATTTAGCATTATAGTTAGTGCAGTGCACTCCATTATCTAACTGAAGTTTTAATTGAAAGTTTCATTTATCATCAAATCTTCTGAGGCCAGAAGATGCCCTTTCTTTTTGAGACATAAATATTTACTTCTGAGATGAGGTCATTGATGGCCTGTAAGAAGAAAAACATCATTTTACTTCTGAGAAGACAGTTGGAAAGTATGCCACCAGAAGAAAATTGACCAGCTCATGGCTACTAGGAAAGAAACTATACTTCTTCCCTTCCCAAATTACACAATCTCATTGAAAAAAAAATGCTAATTGAAATAACCCAAATTGACATCCATTTATAGAATGTAACAGAATGGTTGTCTCATTTTCAAGTATTGGTCCCATTCAATACCTTGTTTTCTACAACAGACTTGGAGAGATGGTTATCACATCTTTCAGTATAAGGCACCTCAGAGATAAAGTGGATAACATCCTAAAAGTGGCATAGTAATTTTGAATTGGAAGCAAAAGACATCTCTTTTCCAACCCGAGAGCCAGTTTTTCAAGATGTGTAACCGACACCATTACACTTTGCCTAAACTTAAGGTTATGACCTTAAGACTGATCACCAGTTCCTGGCTAAAGATCCACATCTTCCTCAAATGTATATTACTTCTACTGACAGTGGAATGACAAGCTGGATCTTCTTCAAGTTGGAGCAGTGCTATAGAATCCATTAGCATACTTTGAACTTTCAGAAGTTACCAACCCTTTGTTGTAGCCAGGTCTGGAAACAGATACCAGAAGGATTTGCAGGAATGTTACTCACTGCCATAAAGGACAATAACGCGATCTTGAAAGCTTGTCAGGCTTTCTTTTGGCCCTTTCTCATACCAAACAGAATCAATGTAGTAATTTAATAATAATTAATAATAATAATAATTTAGTAATGTAATGTAATTTTGAGTTTCTTTCTCATGCTTTCCATTTTCCCAGAATTGACACCAATTGTTTTATATATATACTGTTTGTATTGTAGTAGTCCCACAACTTAGTAAACACTGAGCTTAATTCAAAAGAGATGTTAGATACAAGATTGTAGTCATTACTCTGGCATAGCTCTCTCTATGGTTCCATCAATATAGGAATGGTTCTGCACTCAAAAAACATTTTCTTCTTCTAGTAGGGTTTCTTTTTTCATATCAACTAAATATTGATGCATTGGTTGCAACAGGAATTGACCGACCCACTTATTGCTTGAGCCTGATGTTGGACATTGAGAGAGAGCAACAAGCTGAAGCCACTCAGGCAGCATTCATACCTAAAGTGGGATTAGAACTCAGTTTCCTCGTTTCTATCCTGGGGCCTTAAACCCTTGACCTCACTGGCTCTCAAGACTCAAATATAATTGATGTTCATAAATATTTTATATTTATGATAAATTTTTAAATTTAAAAATCCATCTTATTCATATTCATATGAAAGACTAGACATGTTAAAAAGAATCTGATCTTTTAGAACTAAAACGTACTGCTCAGTCTAATCTAGAATAATTCTCCAAATGGAGGGAGTTGATAAAAAATGGACACATCATAAGTAGTAAAGAGCGTAAAAATGAAAACTGTGTAAGGAAAAAATATAAATGTTCCCAAACATGCGGAATTGTTGTTTGATATACTAGATCCGTGATGGTGAACCTATGGCATGCATGTGGTACAGATGGCATGTGAGCCCCAGCCAAAGTTACCTGTACTGTACATGTGTACGCCTCCCAGCTGATTCTTTGGCCCTTTTGAGGCCATTTTCTCCCTCCTGGAGGCTTGAGAGGAGCCTCTACAGCCTCAGAAGACTGAAAAATGGGCCTTCCAGAAGTGGAAGTTCCAGCAGTGCTGAAACATGCCTGTTTTCAGCCTCCCAAGGCTGCAGAGGATTCCCTTGAGCCCCCAGGAGGCTGAAAACAGCCTCCTCTGGGCTCCAGAAGCCCTCTGTAGGCTGAAAACGGGCACTTCCGGTATTTCCGGAAGGCCTGTTTTTCGGCCTCCCAAAGCTGCAGAGGCTTTCCTCAAGCCTCTGGGAGGGCGAAAATAGCCTCAAATAGGCTGAAAATCAGCCCGGAGGTACGCACATGCACAGTACAGTAAGGGGTTGGGGCGGGGATGTTGCATGTGCATGTGCTGGGCGCATTGCATTGTGTGTGCCAGCACGTGTACGCCTGCTTTCAGCACACCACAAAAAAAAGGGTCTCCATCACTGGACTACAGCCATAATTGTCGTAAAATCAAGTGAGCTTCTTCTTAACATAGAGTGAAATAAAAGTAAGAAAGCAGAAGAAGGCTGTGAGTTATATATTTATTAAATACATATTGGGTTAGATCTGACGCCAGCAATGGAATCTTTAGTAATTGTCAAAATTACAGTGTTGTAGAGGAGGAATTTTCTGTGATTTAATGTCAATAAAAAAGAAAACAGGGTATATTTAATATGACAATACCTTGATATTAGGTATTGATAACTTCTGTAAATATCTGTAATATGCCCATCATGACAGTTCAACTCATATAAACCAATAGATCTGATTAAACACAGGCTGACACTTCACCTTTCGGAACAAAATGTGTCACATTCATAGATTCACATGAATCAAACAGGTTCTTCAGAAGGCCAGAAAATGCCAACGTGATTTTGAGTATGAGCAGCTTTTGATGGATCTTGACAGAAATAAACATTAGATCTCACTGGCTCTCAAAAGTCAAATATAATTGATGTTCATAAATATTTTGTGATTATTATTTTTATGATGATGATGTTTTATGTTTTATGATTTTTATGATGACTTTTGAGGAAAACCTGATTCCCATTAGTCAAATTTTCATAACACCTATTGATCAAACATCTAAGTTAAAACGTTTAAGTTTTCAAAAAAGAACTGAATAGTATACATTTCTGGAAGGAAGTCTTCACTGTCAACATTATGTTTTGGGATAAGGCCATGGCATGTGTTACTGTGGAAACTGTTACTGCGAGGCTGGTTGGCATGGCGATAAATGTGAACTCCAATGTGACATCGCCCCCTGGGAGATCAAGAAGAAGTGTACCTCTCCAAATGGCAAAATCTGCAGCAACAGAGGTTTGTCATTCACCTTGGTTGTCATCTAAGTTAACTTTGTCCCCTACCTTTGGCACTTTTCCAAAGTTACAGGGCTTTGGGAAAACTCAGTTGATGTGTTATTACAAAAATAAAAGAGAGGTAGATGCTGCTAACTATGAGCCAATGCCAGTTTGTTCTGTTTATTTGCCCCCCCAGTGTATTGATATAGTGAAATATGTCAGGAAGAGAGCCATCATGGAGACATGCTGGTCAACATAGCTGAACAATATCTAAAACACCCTAAGTTCCTCATAAAACAATCACCTGTAATTTATGATGGGTATGTACAGAGACCCATATACATACATACTTTCCATTATAAGAGCTCAATACTTTGGCAAGGGTACCAGGTTCAGGAAGGAAAGCTGCTGAAAAATTACAAAGTAGGAGTCAGTCAAAACTATTCTCCAAAGCACCTGAAGGCAGGACAAGAAGCAATGGGTGGAAACTAATCAAGGAGAGAAGCAATCTAGAGCTAAGGAGAAATTACCTCACAGTTAGAACAATTAATCAGTGGAATAATTTGCCTCCAGAAGTTGTGAATGCTCCAACACTAGATGTTTTTAAGAAGAAATTGGGCAAACATTTGTCTGAAATAGTATACAGTTTCCTGCCTAAGCAAGGGGTTGGACTACAAGAGCCCAAGTTCCATTCCACCTCTGTTATTCTGAGGAAAGTTAGTCAGATATGATGAAATCGGTGCATATGGAATAGCACTGGGTGATGCTATTTCAGACCTTGGCCTCTTTTGTTTCCATGCTCTTTTTAAATGTTTTCACAAAAGAGATGTTAGTGTAGATATGATATACACACTGACAGGTCCTTTTGCCAATCATGATTCATGGAGTCGAAGATTGCCCAACAACAAAGAGAGCTTAAGCAAGGCGCTAAGCAAAGAAAGGAGAATATAAGAGGCTTCACTTTTCCTAGGTGGTACTGTATTTTAATTGAAGATCAATTGTCCTGGGCGCAGCATTGGTTCTAGATTGTGACATGGTATTATGATCAGGCTTTCTCCTACCTCTACCCTCCATATTACATGAAACATGATTTTTATGTTTACATAAAATTAGATCTGTACAATGTTCCTATAAGTGCCATTCTTTGCTGAGTACAGTATCAAATAATATTCTTTCTTCTTAGGAAAGCATTAATTGCTTGCTGTGAGTGTGGTGTAATGCATGTGTACATGTGCAGACATATGAATTCTTGCTGTTAAGTTGGTAATCTGATGCTGCTGTTTAAACTATCTATCTATCTATCTATCTATCTATCTATCTATCTATCTTCTATGAAATATATTTGCTGGAAATTTAAACTGATTCTGGACAGTTTACAGCATAAGAATTTAGGTAAGTCTGCTCTAGATCCAACCCACTTTTTAAAAACTTACTTTTTAAAGTTTTATTCAAGAGAACTGAAGGCCAATAGGGGATTTTAATATAATGGTTGACTCAACAGAGACATTGCATTTAATTTTTGATATTTCAACAATGGAGAGGATGTAAATACTATGAATGTGTAGATAAGTGTTGCTGTCATCCTGAGAAACAGTTCCCAGGATTGTTGATTTCCTAACAGAACCAACTCAGAAGACCTTCCATGCCTCAACAACTTTTGCTCAAAATAAAAATTGTGTCCAAATCTTTTGTATGTACATGTTAATTTCTACCACTAATTTATCATTTTATTTTCATTCAAGCAATTTTAGTTTGATTGGAGGAAAAATATTCATAAATAGATCTACTGTATGTTTCTAAAATGTGAAAATATGTTTGTTTTCACTAAGAAAAAAATTAAAATATCAGCCGTTGTCTCTCTGACTACAGTCCAGATCTATTAGATTAAAACAAAAGTGCAAATCTCAAAATTTATCTCTTTGCTACCTCTGTATTGACAAAGCCTTGCCAAAAGAGGAGCATCTAATTATCTTGAGAGCATTTATAAAACCTTCTCATTTTAATTTTATGGCAATTTAAAAGCCCTGGCTAAAATATTGAAAACACCCCCACACACTCATATTTCTAGAAACTATGCCTTAGATTGTAGCATGAGTTTTGTAAATGAATTATTTGTCTATTTGGTGACATGGAACTTTATAAGCATATAAGATCAGAAAGTGTGGCAGAAGAAAGGGGTATCATTGGAAGAAATATCCAAATAGTTAAATGTTTAAGGGATACTGTATTGGCTGATTCAAGGATAATTATGGCAGCAGGCAATTATTTCTGTATGTACTATACTTAATCATCTGGCATATATCCTGGCAGTTCCCATGTTTTTATTTTGAATGGCATTAGTGTGTATTTTGTTCACATGATGACATTCCTGCATTTTACCCTATGGGTGTTGGTAAATTTTTTTGATGAGGGTAGGTTGGGTGAAAGGGATGTGGTGGCTCAGTGGCTAAGGTGGCTAATTGTCAATCAGAAAGGTTGGCAGTTCAGCGGTTCAAATCCCTAGCACTGCGTAACGGAGTGAGCTCCCATTACTTGTCCTAGCTCCTGCCAACCTAGCAGTTCAAAAGCTTGTAAAAATGCAAGTAGTAAAACAGGGACCACTTTGGTGGGAAGGTAACAGAGTTCCATGCGCCTTCGGCATTTAGCCATGCCAGCCACATGACCACAGAGATGTCTTCGAATAGCGCTGGCTCTTTGGCTCTGTAATGGAGATGAGCACCGCCCCCTAGAGCCAGAAACAACTAGCATGTATGTGCGAGGGGAACCTTTACCTTACCTAGTTTAGGTGAAACTCAGTGAGACTTTGAACTATTTATTGTCTCTTGGCTCAAGCAACCTGCATGCAGTTAATATTAAGTATGCATCTCAGATCTTGGGTTTTTAAATAGGGTTTTTGTGCTCATACGTTAAAATGGTTGAGTGGCACAAGGCTATTCCAGCCATTTGCTTTTTGTTAGAAAAAGCAAATATATTCTAACTGGCATGTTTGATGACTAAAAAGTACAGCAGTGCAGAAAATAAAATGCCTCTGAAGTCCCAATCTTTCTCGGTGATTGGGAACTACCTATGGCTGGGAGGAAGCATAGAATAGGGCCTCTATTTACATTCCATCCATTCCCCTTTATTAATCCAAGAAGTTAAACTCACTGTAAGTTTAGGGTATTACAGAAAACTGTAACAGAAGCTTGCAACTTAGGATAGAATTGAATAGAATAGAAAATGTGGGTTAAACAGCATTATCACCAGATGAATTTTTAACTGGCTGACCAACAGCATTCAAAACATATCCTTAATGGAACTGCTTCTACATGGAGGGAACTATGCAGTGGAGTACCTGAAGGCTCTGTCTTAGACCCAGTTCCCATCAATGATTTAGACGGATAGAAGGGGAATCATCAAATTTGCAGCCGTCACCAAGATGATAGTAATAGTCAAAACTCCAGAAGATAGGTTCATTCATTGGTGAGAAAAGTAAGCTGCTACATTTAGGCAAGAAAAACCAAATGCACAAATATAGAATAGGTGGCACCTGGCTCAGTATTAGTACTTGTGAGGCAGATCTTGGAGTCCTAGTGGACAATCAGTTAACTATGAGCCAGCAGTGTGCTGCAGCTGCAAAAAAGCCAACAGAGTCCTAGGCTGCATTAACAGAAGGATAGAATCAAGATCAGAATAAGTTTTAGTACCACTTGATAATGCCTTGATAAGATTACACTTGGAATATCCAGTTTTGGTCATCACAATATAAAAAAGATGTTGAGACTCTAGAAAGTGGGCAGAGAAGAGCTACAATGAAGCTTAGAGAATTGGAGGCTAAAACATATGAAGAATGTTTGCAGGAATTAGGATGTTTAGTTTAATGAAAAAAGGACCGGGGGTGTGTGACATGATAGCAGTGTTCCAATATCTAAGGGGCTGCCACAAAGAAGATGGGGTCAGCCCATTCTTCAAAGCACCAGAAAGTAAACCAAGAAGCAATGGATGGAACATAAAGAGAGAATCAACCTAGAACTAAAGATAATTTTTCTGACAGCGTGAACAATAAATCAGTGGAATGACTTACCTCTAAAAGTTGTGGGTGCTCCAACATTGGGGGTTGTTAAGAAGAGATTGCACAACAGAGATTTATCTGGAATGGAATAGAGTTGTCCTGCCTGGACAAGAAAATCTCCAGGGTTCCCTCCAATTCTTTATTTTGTTATTCTATTAATTTAATAACATTTTCTGTAAAAGGCTTTTCTTTGATAATGACAGGAGTAGAAAGACATGCTGTTTGAGGACCAGATGGGAGGAGTGTTAGTCGCTCTGACTCAGTATACATACCCAAAACTCTTTAGGGCTGTTTGCATAACATAGCAACCCATGTGGCTTAGGTATAAGGAAATACACTTCTCCTATTGCTCCTCTCTCTGAGCTGCACAGCATGGACACAGTAGTCCCCGGTTTGTGTAATGGCCTATCACACTGTGTGAACACAATGTCCCCAGGATTTCCAGCAGGAACAAACCATGGAGGGTCACCATCATTTGCTTAAAGTTTGTTTATGGGGAAGATCACAGCAGAAGACCCCAGCACCCTGCATTTGCTCAGCATGGTAAATGATAAACAAGCAGATACCAAGCCACAGCACACAGAGAGGAATGACCGAGTGTGGGTGTTTAATAACAAGCAAGCTTGTCTGTTGTGTCTATTTAATGTCCTCTGGGTATGCAGGTAGTGCTAGGGGTCTTTGGAGAAAGATCCCAAAGAGCTGAAGGTAGTGCTCTTTACAAGGAGTCAAAGAACTTATGGTACCTAGGATAAATATAAACTCAGGAAAGCAAACCTAGCCACACCCATATATTATACCCAATAGATAATCAAGACTGGATTATTGTGATCTAGAATGCACCCGCATCCACCCTTTTCAGATGCAAATGTTGATTTCCTCTAGTTAACATGTTCAGGAATGATAAATTTGGTCTTGAAATAGCCATTTCAAACACATCTGCTAAGTCAATAGTTATAGGTAATCACAATTACAGTTCTCAACATTGTGTAGACTCTTGCTGATTTTTCTTGAGTTCTGATTCTTCAGCAAATGTATGGACAAAAGGAATTAAAACCCAAATAATTTGGTTTAAATTCTTCCTATCTATCATCTATCTATCTATCTATCTATCTATCTATCTATCTATCTATCTATC